AATAATAAAGATTATAAAGGCCCACAGCCAAAAATTCAAAATAATCAGTTCAGTGGAGAAAGAACAACTTGGTTTATACACTTCTCTTCTGGCTTCTGGCAAGCAAGCTCTCCCTGGGTGATGTCAGGAATATTTAATGTGAAGTTGAATTTTGGGGAGAAGGTATTTTTTCTGTCAGGCAGGGAGGGAGAGCTCTCTTGTAAGTGGATGTGTGACTCCAGAAGAGATCCCCTGTGCATTCAAGAGAACTCAACCATACAAGAGGATCTTATGGAAATGACAAAACATGCTTTTGCCCCATAAAATTTCCCATTAGAAATTTTCCATCACAGCTGATGGTTTCAGAGAGTAAGAACATGAGGTTCTGTGCAAAACTCAAGGTCAAATGTTGTCCTAAGCATTGATAGGTATTGCTTGTATGAAAGACCATAAGGAACCTCTCAGAGAAGTGTCACAGGAGCACCTGCCGAAAGATATGGTTGCAACAATGATCTTTGGCTGAGCTCATGGCTCGTGACTTCAAATTTACAGGCTTCTTGGTCACATAGGCTATGTTTAAACTAGCAAGTACTTAATCCAGGTCTATTCTTTGGTCCTGAAGCCTGCGAGCATGCATAGCCCTCATCCATACCACCAATGATCTTTCCTCCTTCGAAGGCAGTATAGCTTCATCTATCCTGCCAGTTGGGAGTGCTCCCTGGTCCTTGCTATCCCTTGAACCATGACCAGGCATTGCCTGAGCTACTGTTAACAGCTTATCAGCATCTATGGCCACCAGCCAGTGTTTGAGCTGGTGTCCTCGTGGTTGATCACTGTGGGTGTAACTAGAGGGGCTGAAGAACAATCCCAGCCAGCTGTGGCCAGCTCACTGAAACCTGACAGCAGTACTGCTAAGCAGAGATGTATATTTGCATTCATTCCTACCTGCCCCATCTGATTAATAAAGGAAGATAAATGAGGAGCATGGAAAACAAAGGTCAGAAGTGGGGGAGATCTGTTGGCCAACACAGGCTTCTTCTTTACAGTGTGTTTATTCTCTGGTGTTTTCTCATTTATAATGCACTTGTTTCACCTTTCATGTATGCACAGGTTTACCTGGATGCAGGAGAGGGACTCTGAGCTTTCTTTTCCCAATCCCACCTATTTCCGCATGGCCTCCCCTCCCATTCTCAGCAGAGCACTCCAGGAAATAAACTACAGCCTGGACAATTTCCAAGGGGAGTTACGGAGGCAGGTGCAGAAAATGAGAGCACTCCTCCCCCTGGGAAACCCTCAGAGATGGGGCTGTCCATTGATGACATTTCCTCATCCTGCCCTGGCTCTGTAAGCCCTGACAGCTGAAGGTTTTGCTTTCTTGGATAACTCTTACCCCTTCAGCCCTTGCATCACGTTGCCTCTGCTACAGTGCTGCAAAGGCAGAGCTCACCCTGGTAGAGCAATGCTGTTTTGATTTGTGATGGCCAAAGCTGCCTTGGTGAACCCTTCCCCTCAACATGGCATTCAAAGCCAACCCACACATCAGCTCCTTTGCAGTTTCCTTCCTCCCTCCCCTCCGCTCCCCACAGTCCCACAAACAGCACTGCTGGCTGCAGCTGGAAGAAGCAAGGGAAAGGAAAGAAGGGTGTTTCTGAAAGCTGTTTCCTTCTGGTGACAGTGATTGCAGGGAATGAGAAGGGCTCTGTCTACATCTCCCCACATTAAGCTGGGCTAAGAGAGACATTCTGAAAGCAACAAAATCTACCAAATGCAGGGTCGCGGCTCATATGAATTGGCTTTCTTAGGAAATCAGTCCTTGACTGAGCAAAGGGACAACATGACTGGAAATCTCTACTCTGTCAAATGCTGGTCTAACACACATTGCAGAGCTTATCTGCCTGGGTTACTAAATGGAAATTGAGCAAATGCTTTATGTACACCATATCTGAAGACTTCAGCTCTGTTTCTTCTAGATGCTGCAGGACTGGGTTCCCTAGCAGCACTGAAGTGGGTTCGCTGAGATGACATTTTCTTATTCAGTGTGATGATTTTATAGCAGGTTTGATATGCATGATGGCACTGCAGCCCTTAACCAAGGTAGCACTGAATCCTCAAAAGCTGCTTGCACAGGACAGTATCTGTGAGGGTTTTTTGGGCTCCCTTCCTTAAGTGATACAGGACATGTAGTCTGTGGACCATTCTGAAGAGCCCCTGTTAGATTTCCCACTCTTCTCATTACCGGAGCTTCGGATTGCTGAGTCCTGACAATGAAAAACACCCAGATGCTGCTTGATGTGACAGTTTTAGCAAGCATGTGGTTTTACTTCTTTCTCCTCTTATGAATGAATGAAAAATTATTTCCTTTGTCTTCTTTTTCCTTCCCTTCCTATGACACTGTGAGATGTGGTCAGACACTTTGCAATCAACATTTAGGACTATATATCACTCATTGCTGGTGCATTCAGTGCTGATATCTATTACCTGTGTTCATGCTCTTCTTTAATTTCTTGTTTTCTAGTGGCAACACACCCATTGCAGTGTGGGGAACTCACCTAGACCTGATCCAAAACCCTCAGATCCGGGCAAAGCATGGTGGAAGGGAACATGTCAACGTGAGTATCACTGCTGAGCTGGGGATCAATCACAGGAGGGGACATGTCCAACGTGGTGATAGGGGCTGGCTAACAGCTCTGGAGGTTCAAATCTCCTATTGCATCCAGAAAAGAGGGCATGACTTCCTTTCAGAAAGATTACCCATCCTTTCTCCATGAAGGAGCACCAGACCAAAGCAAGAACAGAGAGAGGCGTCATGAAGGGTTGTTCAGCTCCTGGTTTCTGCTGAGCCTGTTTCTTCTGCTGGCTCAAGGATTCCTGTCCTCTCTCTTGGCCCATGTATAACCTGTGTTATTTATCAGCCATGCCTGTACATAAGTAGACCTAAATTCAGGTTATTAGCTGAGCATGCTGGGATCAGAAGGAACTGTGAATAATACTCTTTGGTACTGCTGTAGTCCACTCCTGGACTATTTGGTATCCTTCAGGAGCGTATCCAGGTTTAACCAACTAGATTTACAGCCTAATTCAGCTCTTAGTGACCACTGAGGAATCAGAAGAGCTTTACCAAGGTCTGGGAGGACAATTCACTTGGAAGAAGCCAATTACCAGTAGCTGCTGAGCAGCTCCAGATAGAGGATTCAAATGTGTAAGTTTAGCACCTCCAATTAGTAAACTCAGGAGCAAGCAGCATCTGCTGGTACCTATAGTAGTTTGGAGGATGGGGGCATGCAACAGCATCTGAAACTCTGTTGGCTGTGTATGGGCACTTCCTGGGACCAAGTGTGAAAGAGCATCCCAGAAGAGTCTCCAAAAGTAAAAAATACAGAGGGACTAATTGCGGTGGGGGCAGAAAGTCCAGGTCCTCTGCATTTCTCAGGTTTTAAGATTAATCCTTGAGCTTTCCACCCAAGGTTCTTAAAGTACTTTGCAGACATTAAAATCATCTACTGTCACATGAACAGTGGTGAAACTGTGGTAGATCCAAAAAGAAGGTGCAGGAATATGGGGTAAATTCATTTGCATCTACAGTTCTTAAATTGAGAGACCTAGATGTTGGTCTTATCCCAGCTTTGCCATGAACTAATATCCCCCTGCATAAAGCCAAATCCAAAACAATTTTGTCACCTCTCATGCCTCACCAGATTCAGGAAATACTTGTTGAGATTGTTTCTGTGTCTGATGTGAATCTTGACTGGCAATCTTCCAGTCCCTCATGAACTCTGGGAAAGCCCTGGTCCAACTGATTATGTGTATTCATAGGTAAGTTTTGGTAGTATGTTATATTTCCTGGTACAGCAGAGCCAAACACTTACCTAGCTTGCCTGCCGAATTAGAAGCCTGCATGACTTCATCTTATTCTTCCAGCAGACTCCAGCTCTTGCATGACACAATGGTCTCAAACAATCAAGCCATTGTGCAGATGATGAAGCTTATTCATCATCTCACACATGCTCAAGTAGAACTGCCCATTGGTTTTGTGCTGGGAAGTACTCTGGTGTCTTTTCTTCCTTGTAAGAGCTGTTCCAGCAAAGAATATCTGACTTATTTTGCAATATGAAACTGGCTGGTCCAAGTCACTTATCTCTCTGTTGATTTGAGCCAAAGCAATATTAACGCTTGAGCTATGCTAGCTGTGATAATGAGTGTGCTCTCAATGCTGGAGGTATCAGACTAGTTTGGGTAAGATTCTCATATCAAGCACAGCTGGGATCCCATGGAGCTGGTGCTGTTTCCCCACAGAGCCTTCTGGTTCCTGGTGAGACCAGGATGCATTGTGCTAGCAAGCATGACATAGAAAGATGAAGGCTCAGATCCTGAAGGACAACAAGACATCTAATTCCTAGTTGTTTAAAATGGGTATCAGCATAAAACGCTTTTCACAATCTATTACCCATTTATCAAACACACAAAAGAAGCAGACCTTTGGCAGGGCTGGAAGCCAACTTCAGGGTCTCCTGAGACCTACCCCACTGTCTTCACCACTCCAGTTTCCTGGGCTTTATTTCAGGTAACCTGATGTTCAAACAGGAATCTTGGGCACAGCTGAGCATGCACTGGACGTACACTTCTGGAGTGATCCCCAGAGTGTAAGAGCTAACTGCAGGGTGGTAGTGAGGCTTTGAACTAGTCTCTGTTGTACAAAAGAAGGAAGAACTTCCCAGAAGGAAATGAGATTAGGGGAAGATGGTGACACTGGCAGCCCCAGAGGCTGAGCTCCCTCATGGAAGAGGCACAGGATGCCTGATTGCAGTGCAAACTGCTCCACACACCTGCCCTGGCAAAACTTTCCTAATCCCTTCCCAGCCTTGTTTGTCTGTTGGGTATGGGATATGGTTTGAAGCAGTGGAGCACCAGCCTGTCTCATGATAACCAAGGAGGTCTGCTTCTCCCTGTCCTCTGGCAGTAGGTAGGCTAGCATTTCACTGGGAGGTGTCTGCCCACCAGGAGGGCTGGGGGCATTTTCCATAAACATTCCTTGTGTTGGGTTTCTTTCTCCAGAACTGCGAGGTGCAGAACAGCACCGAGATGACCTGCCAGGCTCCAGCATTGGCTGTTGACCCCAATCACCAGTCTGAGCTTGCTGAGCGTCCAGAGGAGTTTGGCTTCATTCTTGACAACGTGCAGTCCCTGCTGATTCTCAACAAAACCAACTTCACCTACTACCCAAACCCAATCTTTGAGGTTTTCAATCCCTCAGGGATCCTGGAGCTGAAGCCGGGAAGTCCCATCATCCTGAAGGTGAGATGGAGACCAAGGTCTGGATGAGGAAGGGCAAACACATGATGCCTATTTCCTCTCTGTGTCTGCCAGCACCCCACAAATCACAGTGGCATCCCTATTTCATCCCAGAGGTTTTCTCCACTCATTGCACCTACCATATCACATCATATCAGTCACCATCTGCAAACACAAATCACTGCTCAGCATCTGCCAATACCCATAACTAAAAATATAAACTCCTGCTGCAGCTACCTGTGTACAGCCTAAATTTGTACCCACTGCTGTTCCCCAGAGAAGAACATTTTCTACCACTGTAACAGGTCTGGCAATTAAATGCGCAAGTCTGTTTCTTCCTTGGGTTTTCAAGACCTTCCTCTCACCCCTGGTTAAATCCTACACTATTCCTTTGTCATTTCTGTAATCTGGACAGCAATGCAGAGAAGGAACTTTATGATTGAGCATTTCCGTATCAGCACTTGAGCATGGTGCATATGCACAGAAATGATTGTGCCTGCAGAATACCTTCTTGCATGTTTGAAAAGGGGTCTGTCTTACTTGCCTGAATAAAGTTTGTGAGGGCCTGTTAGTGCAAGACTTAATTGCAACGTTTCTCATTTAGTTCCAGAGAGAGAGGAGCAGGACAAGCTGTTTTGACTGATTACAGTCTGTAGCCATCCATGCTGACCTCTGCATGACTTTCTAAATTGGCTTTTCCTCTGTGTTAGTGAATGGTGAACCACAAATGTCAAGTGCAATGTTAACACTTGTGTCACAGAAACAAATTAGAGGTGGAAGGCAAACTCTTTCCTGATTTTTTTTCTTTTTTTGGTGGGGGGGTGATATTCCTTTCTATCCAGGGCAAGAACCTGATCCCACCAGTTGCAGGAGGGAACGCCAAGCTGAACTACACCGTTTTGGTTGGTGAGAAGCCCTGTGCAGTGACTGTATCAGATGTGCAGCTGCTGTGTGAGTCCCCAAACCTCATTGGACGGCACAAGGTGATGGTAAGTGGTGCTTGAACGTCATCATCCTTTCCTCCCTGGATGGGTTAGGAGGGCACACCAATGCTGAAGAGCTGGCAGAGGTGTCCCAGGAGTCTGCATCACAACTTGCCTTCTATACATCCCATAAACATCAGGGACCCTTCTTGATATAATATCCCCATCAAAAGTAACTCGGAGAAGTAGAAGAGTAGAAAAGTAGCCTGGAGTTCTTTATGGACAGTGAGAAACCTTTCATAATCAAAACCCTTTAGGAAAGCTTGCCTCTCTCCTGTTTTTGTATGGACTATATGAACCCTAGATGCTCATGTGAGTTCATATATGTAACATGTTCCCTACATGACATACTTTGTGAAATTCAGCATAGTCCCCAGCAATTATTCACATGCTGGTGGCTAAAATTTGCCTTTATGTAGGAGAAGAAAAAATGCAGGATATGGACTGTAATGTGATTGGACTTCGAGGTTTTGACATCTATACAACTTAGTATATTCCTGCATATCTTTCCTGGAACCTGTGAAAAATGGACCTAGTGATTCCATCAGAGGGAGCTTCTCCTCCTCTCACCATTGATTTATTAACTCCTTCTTTACTTTCCTCTCAGTAATTTGCATTCCTCTATGCTATTACTTGATAAACAGCACATCAGTATACTCATCTGAGTTGTATCGAGCTGTGGGTGGAAACACAACAAAAGCTAACAACTGACGTCAGACATACAGATGATCAATGTTTCTCGTGCCTTGTGATCAACTGTTTTCCACCTCTCTGTTGCCCTCCCAAAGCTGTATCTGTCACATATTTATTTATTGCAATGCAGTAAGACTCACAGAGGTTGATAGACACACTGCATAGCTCTTCTTTTAAAAGAGAGTTTTCTGGGGACTTTTAGGAAATAGAGAGTTTATGGTCACCATTTCAGGTCTCATTTGTGACTGCTGCTGGGAGACCTCATACTGGCTACTTAACTTCTCTGTGCCAAAGTTTGTCATCTGGAAAATAGAGGTAATAATGCTTTTCAGCCATGCAGATACACCATGGCTCTCGATTAATTGTAAAGCACATTAAGACACTCCAAGAGGAACAATAACGAAGTGAGAGATTTTCTCTGTGTGAATACCAAAGCTTTTGAACAAGGCAATATATGTTCCCTGTCATTTTCATGAATAAAATTAAACATATGGTTAGTCAGAGATGGACAAAGCCAACCCTAGAGAGAGAAAACCCAAAGTCAGGTGAGCAATAATCAACCCCTGGGGATCAGGGAGGATGAACATCTGGTCAGGTCTTACTAATTGGGAAGACTCCCCTGCTCCTGCAGCTTGGGAGAGCTTAAGCGAAGCCACAGAGGAAAAAATAATCCCTTTTTGAGGACACTGATCAAACAAGAGATGCTGCTGGAAATGTGGGAAGATGATCACATTGAAGCCTGTTAATGAGCATCAGTGTTAGGGGCAAGTTACAGATTTCTCGTTCAACTGCCAACACTGAGACAACCCTTTGACAGCGTCTGGGCTGGAAACCAAAAGAAGGTCACCTGTGATGGAGGCCAGTGCTCAAGGATGGACTTTGCATCTGGAACTTACCAGGGGGACAGCTGGGCTGGGAAATGCCTCCTCCAGCATGGCACAGCATCTCTGTTGCTTGGGTTGGTACAAAATGTATCCCCATGTTTCAAATGAATATGACTTTGATAGTCAGCATAATTGACAGGTAGCTCTCCCAGGTCCTCCTCCTGTCTCTGCCAATGATTTACTGTGTGACCTTGAGTAAACTGCTGAACAAACCCTTTTTTGCAAAGTGAGGTGGCCTAGATCTGAGAGGGGACCATGGGACTGAATCAACCATTGCAACACTGAGATTATTTCTAAGGAAGGACAATGACAATAGCACACATTGATGTCAACATGCTTTTCATCTAGTTCAGCTGTCTTTTATACAATGACAGAGTTAAATATTTGAAGAAATAGGAAAGAACTAAAAGGCCTGAGCAATGGTTAAAGAAGATTGACTAAAACTCAGAGGCAAGCTCTTTTCCAAGGAAAAGGAAGAGACAAGAGGAAGATCCATGAGTAACTATGTTCAAAAAGGTCTGCAATAAAGTGGAGTACATTTGAAGGGTTGCTGGTATCTAATGTAGGCACTTACATATGGAAAGGCACACTGGACTCTTTGTACAGTGAATGGAGAGGTGGTCAAATATAGCAATTGAGGTTCACGGCACAATTCATCTGATCCTAAGGTAGACACTTGCATTTGGCCAGGGCAAACTTGCACTAGGAAAGACACTGCCACCACCAAGTTTTGCACAACAGGAACTACTGAAGTGCTCCAGGTGGCCCCTAAGACTTTGCTGGAGAATACTGGGCTCTGCCATAGTGCCATTTAGAACAAATTCATTATTAACAGGCTTAACAGATGGCCAAACTGTTGTTTGGTAATACGGAGGGCTCATGTTCAGTCTTTTGGAAGGTATAAATAGATTCCTTCAAAACACTCAGTGGCCCAAGAAATAAAGTAGGGCTATATCTACATATTTGCTTGTTTTTCTTTTAAATGCTCACAATAGTACTGCAGCCTTGCAGGCCTTCTTCTTCAAGAGACAGATTCCCTCAGATCATGGCAGTTTGATTCATGGACTGTGAGACCTTCTCAGTGCAGGAAACCACCTTTAGAGAGGAATGCACTGGGGCTACCTTTGTTAGACAGCTACCTCTAGGAGTCTAGATCCCCTTATAGTTAATGGAGACAAATGGGAACTTCCACTGAATAAAACGTCTCATCCTAATGTCAAAGCAGGTGTCAAAAGCATCTCACATAAATCACATACTGAAAGTGTTTTTTCTCTGTATTGACTCTGAAAGCATGCTGTAATGTCTAACTCAGATGTGCCTGTCGAATGTTTGGTAAGAAGAATCCCACCCATGGAGACAGGCTGTTCTGTGAGCTTTGAGGACGGACCTGTGCTGGGGATTGGGACGGGGTTGTTTGATTCTAGTCTGATACTCCTTGAATGGACTCATCTAACTGCAAGGCTTGGAGGAAAAGGGCCACTGTCAGAAACAGAAAATGAAATATAATGAATCTATTTATTGATCTGCTGTGACAGGGAGGAAATTGTGCAAATTGGTGAGCAAATTTTGCTGGGATGATTTGGGACAGTGGTCTAGGGCAAAAGGCAATAGCTTTCAGTGCTTAGATTAGCATGTGAGTTTGGCAGTTCGTCTTCTCAGTTGAGCGTGCCACGTACCAATACCAAATCTCTGCCCTTTGCAGGCTTTATAAGTGAGTTGGACCTTGTATCTTAAAATAGATGGGAACACTAGTTACTGCTGAGTCCTAGACTTACATGGGTGCTAGGTTGCTCCTTGGCCACTGAAGATGCTCTACAAGTCATCGATGTCAGGCTACAGGAATGGTCACCTGGTCAGATAAGCTTAGGTTTGGTTTCATTTCTCATTGTGGACATTGTTAACTTTCTAGAGCCTATCCCAAAATGCTTAGGAGTATTCAGGGCGTAAGAGACCTTGTGGATGGAAATTAGCTCTTTCCAGACATTCACTTTTGTCATGTCCAAAACATAAGCGTTACATCTAGGTGGCTTGGGCCAGGACCCACTGAGGAACAGGCTACAGCTGGTGCTAGAGCAAAACAGACATCTTCTCGGAGGTTGTAACTGGGGCCAGAATAATTTCTAGGAGATGGTGAGGTCACGGAGTTTCATGTCCCCAGCCAGGGCTGTGGTGGTAAGGAGTGAGAGCAGCTGGAAGACTTTTCATTAATTCATGACTCTCTGCTCCGTAGTCTCTTTAAGCTGGCTGTAATCCTTCCTCCTTGGGCCAGTTTCTTCCTCCTGCAGCCTAGAGAGGAAATGTGAGTAGGTGCCTGAGCTGAGGCAAGGGAGGCCTGGGATTAATGTGTATGCAAGCAGGCTAGAGACAGACTGATTAACTGAGAGCCAGTAAGATGAAGGACAAGGCTAGCCACCAGGCTGGGACGTGGGGAATGTTTTCACTAGCTGCTGTGGGAGCTGGGAATGCGAGGGAGAGCTCCTCATAAAAGAGAAAGAAAAAGGTTCAATTATATGTTGCAATAGTCCCAGTTGCAGTGGGAGGGGGAAGCGTGTAGCCCTGGGGTCTTGACTACATTTCTGCCTGGCAGCAAGGTTTTGCACTTTGTGCAGGGCCTGCTGTGCTTCTTTGTAACAAAGCTCAACTGGGTTGAAGTGATGGGGCTCATCACCATGTCCTGATCCTTCAAGCTCTTTGCATGGCATCTTCCTAGCTTTATGTTGATCTATAACCAATGTTCCCCTACCACAACATAGTCCTGGAAGCTTTCTTTTTATACCTCAAGCTAGTCATCAATGCTTTGCCCCCTGCCACTCACACTTATCCTACTCTGCAAATAGCCTTGAACAACCTTGTAGTAGCCTTGAGTAAGTAGTCAAGTTTTTGAAGAGTCAAAAGCAAATTGTGACTCTGATTTCTACATTCCCACTGTCCTGACTGCTGCTGTGCCAGCTGTCTGGGTCAAATGTCCCCTGTCCCATTATGAGGTTAGGACCCATCAGACCATAACTATGAGCTCCGTGTCCTGTGTTCATTTTGGGACTATGTGTCATCAGGGCAGTTGAGCACAACGTAGCTGTTTGGGACAGGGAATGGAAAACCCAGAATGAACCCCAAACTGCTATGTAGCCAGGACATTGGGACTGGTGCGAGTTGTCTCACCAGAAGTCCTTTGATGGTTAGGTTCATGGTCAGTCTACCAACAGAGATGCTTCTACATGACATTTCAGGTGTTTTTTAGTTGTTCTCTATCCAAGTACTTCATTGCCTTTTTAACCTGGGAGACAAGGTCAGCCTTAGTCAGGAGATGATGGAGTTTCTCTGTATTCCTGCTTGTTTGGCAGTTTCAATGCAACTTTTTCCTGCCTTCCCTCTAGGCTCGTGTAGGAGGGATGGAGTTCTCCCCAGGGATGGTCTACATCTCTCCAGACAGCCCTCTCAGCTTGCCAGCTATTGTCAGCATTGCAGTGGCTGGTGGCCTGCTCATCATCTTCATCGTGGCTGTGTTGATTGCGTACAAGCGCAAATCCAGAGAAAGCGACCTCACACTCAAGCGTCTGCAGATGCAGATGGACAACCTGGAGTCCAGGGTGGCACTGGAGTGCAAAGAAGGTAGGATGAGGAAGGAAGGCTGACACTGTCAGTGTCGGTAGAAGAGAGAGATCCAGCCACAAAGATTTGAGCCAAAATATCACCAAGGACCAGGAATGTTGAACACTGTGGGTCTGGTTCAAGCCTGGATGTAATCTGACTTTGCCTATTATCCCTAAGTCCAGCCTTCCTCCACCCTGTCCAAGCTGTATTTGCTAACTCATGGTCCAGGGAGAGCCTTGGCATATGTCCCTGGGGAAAGGCTGTGTTGTAGGAAAGGTGAGACTGCTCTTGTCCATCTTCTTCCTCTCTACATATTACTTCTCCACTTTTACCTTAATCTCATGCACGTGGGTTTGAGGGCTTTTCCCATCACAGTGAGGGAGATCTGGACTGTCATTGCTACATGAGTTGTTCCCTTTTTTGTGTCAGCCTTTGCAGAGCTACAGACAGATATTCATGAGCTGACGAGTGATCTGGATGGAGCGGGGATCCCCTTCCTCGACTACCGAACCTATACCATGAGGGTGCTTTTCCCTGGCATTGAAGATCATCCAGTTCTGAGGGATCTGGAGGTAAGAAATCAACTTCTCCTGCTTCTGGCTCCTCTCATGCCTCCCTGTTCTGCCCTGAACGCAAAAGATGTTGTGTCAGTTGTGGGGACGTGATGGCTTACAATGCTGTGTCCTACCAGGGATGAAATATTACATCATTAAAAATCCAGGTTGAAAGGGGAAGATGATTGCTTCTATCTTAGATGTTAAATCCTGTTTGATCACTCATCTATTTGGAAGAGTCTCATAGATCTATGTGCACTAGGTCTACTGTATTAAGCTCCTCCTTCGTCTTCATCCTGCTCAGGTTTGTTTTTTAGACTGAATTTATTAGTTACAGGTGTGCAGTGGCCAGGAGAAAAAAGTTGTATGGCAGAGCAGCATAGCTGCCTGTGTCACTCCAGCTTTGCACAACAATGATACTACCGAGAAGCCTTTTTTACTGGTAAGACCTATAGAAATAAATAACCTGCAGTCACTGAAGGAAGTTCACCTTTGCTGCACTCTGTGGTTTGCAGGGAAGGCAGAAAACCACAGCATCAGTCTGCCCATACACTGCCCACATCTACCTCCTTTACCCCAACTCTCTGGACCACAGTGGTGAGAGGACAGCGAAATGTTGCCCAGCACTGTTGGGGTGTGCACACAGCCTGCATTACCTCACTGCTGGCAATGAGTTTGATGGGACCCCGGGTGAGGTCTGCCCATGCTGCAAAACCCCTTCAGGCCTTGGCAGGTGGACAGGCTCTGCTCTAGGGATACCTGGGCCAGAGAAGCAGGGGATAAACCATGGACAAGGCCAGGGAGGTCGTTGGCTGAGCTCTCTGCAAAGTCTTTGGCAAGCTCTCAGTTTCAGAGAGGCTCTGGCAAGGGCTGGTGAGATCGCTGGAGGCCAAGACGGGGGCTAGTTGGCAGAGAGGAAGAACAGGAGCTGGCGCAAGCAATACCATGCTTGGCTGGCTGTGTAATCAGAGGTGCCGGCTTGTCTCTGCTCCTTCCCTTCAGGAGAGCCAAAATTCATCAAACTATATGGAGAGAACCATTAAAAAAACCTGATCTGCCAGCAACGAGGACTTGTGGGATTGGGTAGGAGGCTGAGTTACACATTGATTACTGTAGATATTTGTCTTTGGGGTGCAGGTAGAGTGGCCTCGAGCTGCTTTCCCTCAGGAAGAGTAGCTCAGCAGCTTCAACAAATGAGCACAAGAGACGAGGGGTGATAAATCTCTCTCACACATGTGTATACACACACACAAACACTGTCATCATACCCACAGTCAATTACAATCCCTATATTCATTAACCTCAGCCAGCTGACCACAGAATAACATCTGACCCCTATAGAGGTTTTAGCACGGATGCTCCCATATGCAGATACATACAGAGACACACAAAGCTAATGTTTCAATCTGCCACCTTTGATCTCTTCTTCCTTTCATTTCATTAATCTTTTTTTTTTTTTTTTCCCCCTTAATCCTCTATAAAGCTTCAGCAGCTCTTTCACTGTCAACATCTTTGGCTACCAACATATCAGGGAAGGCAGTTCCCATTCTGCTCCCTTCGCTGTAGCACCTAGAAGGAGTTGCTGTTTATTGCAAAAGACCCCAGCGTAGATCCCACAATGAGCAGGTCTTACTTATTTCTGGTCCATTTGCTAATTATCTGTTTCCAGATGCAGTACAAAATACTTCTCTTGTTATTTTTTTAATTCTCCATAATAACCTGGGGATAGACAATATTACATGTTCAAGCAAGTGAGTTAAAAATAATTACTGACGGGATGGGTGGTAGTGGTTGGTTGTCTCAAGCTATTGACTAAGTAATTTATTTGCTGTATGCAAAAAGAATTAAGAGCTCTAATTTCCAGAATGAAAAAGTAACGACTCTTTAAGGGGCCTTGCATTACTTGGTTGTTTAAGCATGCCAACTTGTTTTGGATTAAAGTGCCAAATCTGGTTGGTTATTAATACATATGACTCAGAGACATGTGTTGCTCTGTGTTGAGACCCTCCAGCTTCCAGTGAAGCTTTTTCAAGGGCTGGAACAACTTCGGCAAAATGGAGGAATGAGTTTGGGGCTCTCTATTTAAGCTCCATTTTCACCTAGAGCCAGAAGGACCAGAAAGGGTAAAGCCCACTGTAGACTGTGGAGTCCAGGGTCCAGTGTTGAGGTCCTAAATTGGTGAACTAAAAACTAGTTCACCAGCGTCTCACAGCTGAGAAATGTATTAGAGACTTACCAACCTCTCTGTCTCCAAACTGTCTCACCTCCCAAGCCCAGGGGTCCTACTGCAGTGGGACCTCTAAGACAGGTCCCAACTCAGGGTGTCCTCTCACACCTTCATCTGCCTAGTTTTTCAAACCAAGGCCCAGCTGAATGCTCAGTGTCTCAGCCACTACCTCACTGCATCTCTTATCTCCTCAAAACCCCACTCCGGGTCTCTCTCCCCCATTCACTTTCTTGCAGCCTCCCAGTTTTTTAAAGCTGAACTCCAAATCTCTCTAAACAGGTTTCTTGCAGAGATGAAAAAGAGGTGTTTGGTGAGGATAGAGTGAGACTTCAATCTGACTACAATAAAAATATAATATGGTATGGTACCACATCCAGGCATTAGCAATCTCTTTTTGATGTACTGTTCAGGGAGGGAAACACAGGGCTGGAAAGTAATCATCTGACTGTGGCTAGGAGGTCTTTCGGGCTTCCTAATCATCAGATGATGTATGGACTCTCTTCCTTTTTAAAGGACTATCCTGTGATGCAGAAAGAATGACTCACCTGCCTGATAGATGCAAGATTTTTTTTTTAATTGTTTCTGTTGTTTGAAGCAGCTTTTCCCTTTTCCCTGTCTCAGAACTGACTTCTGCTTGTCAAAATGTATAGGTGGAGGAGCTGGAGGGATGAGGGCAGAGAGGTAGCAAAGCGGGGGTGATACATTTGGGAGAGGTCTCACAGTGGGCAGTGACTGAAAGCTATAAACTCCTGTTCTTCTTGCGCAGGTCCCTGGCTATAGGCAGGAACGGGTGGAGAAAGGCCTGAAGCTCTTCGCCCAGCTCATCAACAACAAGGTTTTCCTCCTGTCCTTCATCCGCACGCTGGAGTCCCAGCGCAGCTTCTCCATGCGGGACCGTGGTAATGTGGCCTCACTGATCATGACGGTGTTACAGAGCAAGCTGGAATATGCTACTGATGTCCTCAAACAGCTCTTGGCTGACCTCATAGACAAAAATCTGGAGAGCAAGAACCACCCCAAGCTGCTGCTCCGGAGGTAAGGATGCCTGGGGATGGAGTGAGCTGGGCTGGGCAGCATGTGCCCCACTGTCACTAGCATAAGCATGCTAGTCATCTTTAGAGGAAAGGGGCAAATTTGCTTGATTTTTTTTGTGCAGCAGGGTGTGAAATCAGGATGATATACAGACACAGTTCATGTGACCCCATAGGGCTGGCATGACACTGTTTGCAGAGAGGGGTGAATGAGGAAAGTAGGGCTGAGTGAAGACTGAATCACTCTCCCTTTCTGGTTTCCTGCTCATTTAAGACTTCCTGACAGAGCATTCCTATCAGCAAGCATGTCTGTAGATCTTGCTCCATCTTTTCCCTAACCAAAAAGTAGTCAATGATTAATAGTTACAGAACTGAACTACCTCTGGATTTTAATGTGTATCTTCCAGAAAGCTTCATAAGGGCAGCAAGAGCCCATGCCTCCTAAGCCTTATTTTGAACTCGTTGTGCGCTTAAGATGTTAATTTACGCTTATGTTTCCTTTTAACCGGAAAACTCCAATTGCATTGTGTAGGACCTATGAGTATATTACATAGAACAGGCTGTATTATATATCTGGTAAGTCAGCTGCTGCCTTATCCTGCCTGGGACATGGACAGCCTTGCCCTGTTTCTGGTTCATGAGTTAACTACAGACACATGGAGAGTCTTCTTCAGCTGCATTGTGGGACCTTCTGTCTCTCCCTGAGCATTGGTGCTGGGAGCTCGTTGAAGCCAGTAACAGAGCCAAGCAGGAAAACAGAACTGGTTTCATATCAGGCACAAATTTGGGTTGGTGCTTCTTGGCCAAGTCTAAGTTTTAACCACCAAGGTTGTATGGAAACCCTTGAATTAGAAATCTACTGCTTCGTAATTAATGTGCTTTCCCTTCCGAGGGAAATGCTACCTCTTCTCCCTTTAGGATCATATTCACCCCCTTTTCACAGTCTGAACCACTCCTTGTGATTCAAGCCAGGACCCTAAGTAAAATCAGGGGAAGTCTACTGGAGATGGATGGCCTTTGCCACTGCTCAGAGCCAACTTTGAGGAGCCCTCAGCTGATTGCGATGGACAGCTTGGGCAGGGAAGAGATCTGTGTTGCCTGCTGGGAGGGTTTTCATCTGGCATGCAGCCCACTATGGAGAACCAGCAAAAAAAGGAGGAGAAGGTGCTTCCTGCCATTCAGGGTAGCAAAGCCAGGGGCTTGGTGTCAGTTGACTCCCTGTTGTGATTCAAGCCCTACAGCCTGGCTGGTGACCTCCCTCCATCTGTCCCCAGGCTTCTTCTCTGTGCTTCTCCTCTGATGCTGGATGGCATTGCCTCCTTCCAACTGTCTCCTCCATTTTCTCAGTTTTCTTCCCCTTTCTCCATCTCTTTATCTTCCTTGGTTGTTCATTCCTGCCTTGTCCTGAGCATCCCATCTTCCCTCTTTCTCCTTCTTCCAGCTCTTTTCTAACTCTAGTCCTCTTTGTTGGAAATGAAATGTGGCCTTTGGAAGGAGAGCCAGTGAACAAAGAAGGCACCTCCACTGTTCCAAGCACTTAAAACACAAGGAGAAGTCAGAGATGTGGTTTGTGCTCTGAGATGGAGGTCCTGCACTGAGCAGCACCAGAACAGAGTCTACCGATGAACATGTGAATAGCTCAGTGCCTTGGGATTCAGATGTTGGTGTGAAGTCCCCAGACAATTATTTGGAGCAGCTGGATTCAACTTTATGCTTTCCCTCCCTCTCTGCAACTCTGTGGATGAAAGGGAATCTTCCAACACCTTTCTGCAGTGTTGGTTGGCATTTGACAGGAGAAAGGTGCTGGCTGGAACAATTTTCCCACCTTGCCTCCAGTGTTCATCCCACGTGACATCTACAGCCTCAAAGACATCAAAGTCATCATGGCAGACAGCAATAACACAATGGGATTTCAGTTCTTTTTCTCATGGTAATGCTCAGTTTGCACCATGTGAGGGGTCCCAGGTGTCACACCAGAACACTGGAAAGAGCACTCTTCTGGGTGACGTTCCCTCAGACCATGATAAGCATGGGGATTGCTGGAATTGAATATCATACCATGACCAATGGAGGACAGCAGCTAGGTGATGTTGACCTTAAGGGGAATAAAGGGCAAACAGGCTGGTTTGGACAGAGGCAGTCTCTAGGCAGAGACACAGCAATGATCACTATAGACAAAAAAAGATACAGCATTAAACTGGTAGCAAACTGGGACCATATCACCTCTGATTGCAGGCAAGAGAAGAGCAACAACACACCCCCCTATTACCACGCGTTCCTCTACCATCCCCACCACCTAAGCGAGACGTGCCTATGAGAACAGAGAAATCCCAGTGGACACCAGGCTAAAGATCAATGTGTTTAGCTAGGGAAGGGACTGTCACTTACTCTGTGTTGGTGTAACAGGACTCTTTTCAGGCAAGGTCGCTGGCTGGTTCCAAGCATACAGCTCCAGTGATGCAAACCCTTGCCATGCTCCAGAGGAAGCAAGATCGACTTTATGCTGAAGGACTAGGGAACATAAAAAGCAAGCTGCAGCCCTGAGTGAGAACCCCTGGGTGGTTTTGGTGGTAGCCAGGACAAGGCTACTCAAGCCCCACTTTAATTCATCCAGGCAGGGACTCTTGCTTTCTTCTTGAGCAACACCATTGCATGTACTGGAGCCAACAGAGATTTATCCTGTGCTCCTGGTGTCCAAACCGCATTTACAGGCCTGAGTCGGTCCTTCTGTAGGAAAAGTTCACCCTGAAGACTCAAGATAGATTTTTGTCTGATTGAGGACAGAGTGTTCAAGGGTAACAGGATGAGCTCTGTGAATGCACCACATTGACACATTGAGGAGTATAATCACTCCCAAATGCCAGGGAGATAATCAGTGCCAGATAACTATTCTCTGGTGATTTAGATCTGTCTGCATTAAGTATTTATACAGCCTACTTGTCATATGGCCTAGCGCCGAGCTCCTCATATTTGATGGATTTATCCTTCCTGAGCACCTCTGAGAAGGTTCCCTCAAATGTTGTAATCTCCATTTCGTTGATGGAGAAACTGAGAAACAGACATACGGGGACTTCCCTAGTCAGAGGAGAATCAACAGGGCAGTAAGGATTTGCCTGAAGGTTTCCTAAGTGCAGAGCTAAAACAGAGAGCCTAGGACATCCTTAATCCTGATGGTGTCATGCCAGACTTTCCATGGGGCTCAGAGATCTGGGCGGTAAGATGGACAAAGCCAATCTTTTGACTAGCCCTTTGATATGATGAGCATAACTAACTCATTTCCAATTTGCTTTTTCTCCTGGGCTGATTTTAGGACAGAGTCCGTGGCTGAAAAAATGCTCACCAACTGGTTCACCTTCCTTCTATACAAGTTCCTCAAGGTAAGAGGAGCAGCATGCCTGGATGAACAGCTGTTTTAATGCATTTCTTCTTGGCAAGGTTTAGTTGGGGCAAAAACTTTCCAAGTATAAAGGAAAAGGCTTTTATTCTTAGGAGAGAGCTCACTGCCTCATGGGAGAGGGGCTTTTTCTGGTCCAGGGAGAACAAAGAGGGACAGTTTGTTAGAGAGGCAGCCTGTCGGTCTTATTCCTGTACAGAGGTGGGATCTAAGGGTCACTGCTGAAACAGGAAGGATTTCAGGGCCTATATTGAAAATGCTCTCCTTTTACTAGCAGACTCAGATCTCCATCGCGTGGTGTCACATATTTTCGGTGGACATCTCCTACCACCCAGTTCAGAGGCAGTACTGAGGCCCAGTGCCTCCATCATACCCAGTGCCTCCATCATACTTAACCAGCTTTACCCACACCATAACCAGATCCCTGCTTAGTTTAAATTAGGGCTGAGCCCCAGCTCTTCTTGGTATAAGGCTGCCTTGAGCTTGCCCTGGGCATGGCCATACACCCTCTGAGTACAGAGGGCTGGACACAATACACCATGTAAACCTGACTGCTGCATCCAGAGCCCAGCAGGGACTGAGGCTGTTGCTGCTTTGTATCCCAGTAGGAGATAGCACTGGCTTTGCAGGATGCTCATCAGCAAACCAGTGAAAAGGCTTGAGACACCCCCTGAGCCCTCTCATTTCTCCTGGAGGGCCTCCTTGGGGTGGTGTGTAGTAAAAAAAGAGCCTTTCATCCTTTGAGACCTGCCACTGACTGCTGGGTGGTGGCAGTTTCCTCTTGAGGACCCACACTGAGCCTCAGGCATGCTAATTGCCAAGGCACCAAACTCAGAGCCAGCCTTTTTGGAAGGAGCTGGGCTCTGGACCTCTCCCCCACTCTCAATGCAGTTGCTAGATATTCTTACACCTTACAGCCCTGTTTGGATAGGATAGCCAACCTCTGCCTGGCAATTCAAGGCTTTACAAATCAATCCCATTCCCCTGAGCCTTCCCCAGGCACAACCTGTCCAAGGATGAACACATGGGAAAGTTTTGAAGGTCCCTGGAAGGTAATTTTGGTGACTTCAGTATCAGATTCCTGCTTTCAGCTGAAGGGAAAGGATATAAGGAGGTGACTCTCTAAAGCGCTGCCTTTATAATAGGCTTTTTTTCCCCCCACTCAGCTACTTGTCTTCTTGCCTTAGCCTGAACAGAGGCCTGATAAGGGCAAGAGACAGGCACACAGAAGCAATATGCTGCTGGCAGATAAGCTAATTAAGTGGGAGACAGGTGTAGGAACGGAGAAAGGGGCCACTTTGCTTCAGATTATTAACTTGTTTTTGCTGGGATTTACACCAGAGGAAAATGACCTCGCTCATTGAGTTGGGACACACTGCAAGGGGAGAGGGCAAGGTGGGCAGGAGGGGAGGAAGGATGGAGACATGAAGGGGGAAGCAAGAGAAGAAAGCACAAGGAGGGGTGCATGGCAGCAAATGTGCAGAGGGAGGGTGGCAAGGGAGGAGAGGCTAGGAAAAGTGTGGGAAGAGGAGTTCAGTGAGTGTGAATGATGGGAAGGAGAAATTAGGAAGAGGTGTGTTTTGCTGGCCTTGCCTGTGGGCTGCTTGTTGCTGTCCTGTGCTGGGCCCCACACGTCTGACATTACCGATGCAACTGTACAGATCCAGGGGCACATCTCCCCTGGGTCATGCTCCTGCCTGAGCATCCTTATTTGTCTCGAGCGTGAGGGTACTCAGGGAGACTGTGGACTCTGCCCAGACACCCCCAGTGGGGCACCAGCAGTCCATCTCCCTTTCAGACCTGTCTGCAGGTCCTCTGGAACCCATCCCACCACCTGCTCCCATGCAAAGCTCCAGCCTGGTGGCAATCACTTGAACAGCTCCTGCAAGGCTCTGCTAGCCCCAGCATTGCCAGGCAGCACTACCTTTGTTCCATGACAGGACACTTGAGAGGGCCGGTTGCACTCTGTGGAGGTGGAGGGTCACCTCTACTCCCGGGCTGTATGGAATAAACTGATTCCTGCTGATGCATCTGTCTCAAGTGCTTGGGGATGGCAAGCCGTGGCAGTCATTGAGATGCTATGCAGGTTGGGTTCTCACCTCTGCTCCTCCTGTTCCACCTCATGGTTTTCTCTCACCCCTGCAGGAGTGTGCTGGTGAACCTCTATTCTCCCTCTTCTGTGCCATCAAGCAGCAGATGGAAAAGGGTCCCATCGACTCGATCACTGGGGAGGCCCGGTACTCACTGAGTGAGGACAAGCTTATCCGACAGCAGATTGATTACAAGACATTGGTGAGTGCTCTGAGCACACCTTCCTATATGCTTGTCCAGCCTTTTCTAGCAAAAGGGGATTTAGAGAAAAGAAGCCAGTGATGGACATGCTGACCCTCTGGGACGATTTATTCTTGTAGCCCAGCAGGCTAACCCTGCTGAAGACTGACTTGTTGCATCCCCTAACACAGCAAAGTTTGTGGCTGAAACATCTCCTTGCAAAGCATGTTTGCAAAGATGGCTGCTTCCAAGTTACTGTCATTGTGCTCTGCCCCATGCCCAGAGCATCTCCAGCTTCCCAAAAGCATTGCCTGTTCTCTGAAAGCATCTGCACTCATTGCAGGGTAGGCTGACAGTGCCAATCTTTTACCATTGCTTGGATTAGGTAAGGTCTGGGAGCACTGGAAGACAAGTGTGTGTCATGAATATGCCTGTGAATGTGAAGACAATAGATATGGGCAATTTACTCTGTTCTGTTAGACAAAATACTTCCTAGTATCTACCCCTTTTCCCTGGAGTGATGCCCACTCTTCCAACATCCCTCTGAGTTGTAAGTCAAGGGTAACAGTCTTCCTACAGCAGGAAGGTGGGGTTGTCACTGCAAGTTGTCACCACCCTGAGCTCTTCCCTGGCAGGACCGTGATGTTCATGGTGGGGTTTCTTCCTCCTGACTCTTGGGTGTCCCCAGGGGTATCTTCATCCCCCCTCTCCTCATCACCTGCTCCCTTCTCCCCGGTCCCCAGCACCCGTGGCAGAGCTGCCCAGCGCCCAGCCCGGGCACACAAAGGGCTGGTGTTTGCTGGGCAGTGCCTGCCCGGGGCGGCAGCCCTTGGCCATGTGGGGTGTCCCCAGCGCTGAGCTCAGGCAGGTCGGGCACGAGGCCCTTGGCCACGGGACACTTGTGATCACAGGGACACTCATCTCGGGGCACGGCAAGCCCAGAGCCATCCTGAGGCCTTGTGGTGTTGTGTCAGCGCAAAGCCCATGGCCTTCTGCAAGTGACAGCAAAAATAATTTTTATGAGGCTATATTGGAAGGATCTTCTCTAGAATCTTCCTCACCAGAAAAAAAAAAAAAAAGAAAAATCTGTTTCTCCAATGAAGATTTCAGCATCAAGGAATATGTTGGAGGTACACAGTGGAGGGATCTATTAGGTCTTCTCTAGAGCTAATGTAGCCATTCCTCTTGAGTAATCACAAGTCAAAGTAAAATGAACTTGATTTAAAGATTTCAAAGGAAAGAAAATTAATCCCTGTCACTGAGTCATTTGCTTCAAAATTTAATTGTCTGCATAGTGAAAGTTATACATTGCATATCTCCAGCTTTAGCTTCTACTCTGAGATTACACCCTTTTCCCACTTGATTAAAAAGCATCAATTAAAGAGCATTAGATATCTCTTCTTAGTGTGTTTGTAGGCCTTCACTTTTTCCTGGATACACTAAATCCACTGAGCTTCTAAGTCTCTGTGCGATGAAGAACACTTTCCAAGTCTTCAGTGATCCTTGTAATTTCTTTATTTCCCATGCTTTTGTTTTTGGAAAACCCCAACCCCAAATTTTAGGATGCTGAAGATGCTCTGAATTTACCAGATTATTTTATTTGCACCTTCAATTGAGGGACATTCATCTCACTTAACTTTAGCTATCTTTGAGAGCTGTGTCCAGTTGATGTTAGTTCCTTGACCTGTCTTAGATCTTAGGTCAGGTGGGCTGATGCTGGAAATGTCTGCTTTTCTTCAGTAACTACAGACAGTCTAGAGCCAAGCTTTGATTGAATCCAAGTCTGATGAGGGGGTAGACTTTATTCTTAAATAAGACCACAATTTTATTTTGCATATTAAAAACGTGACTTTCTTATTAAATCAACAGCATAGTGCTTCTTTTGTGTTACGTGTGGTTGTCTAGCAATTTGGAGGCCTGATCTCACACGGAGAGAGTGAGCAAAAGGAAGAAAAATGGAGACACAGACTGATCGCTTTCACCAAAGGAAATCCCTCCGATCCTTTTAGGCTTGATATAAAGCAGCCAGCAAAGGGTAGTAATTATACATCAGCCTGAACAAAGCTCTCCTCCATTCGCTTTGTGTTGTTTGATGTTAATCAGCTCTCCCTCTTACATCTCAAGAGCAGACAAATATATCCCGATAGGAATCTCAGCAGATTTACAGAGATCAGCGTCGGTGAAGGAGATTAAGAAGAAGCAGAATTTGAATAGGATTGTTCTTCCTTTCTGTTTCTCTTTAGTTCTGTTTTATTTTGCCCTTCCTCTACCTTCCTTAAGCAGTCTGTCATCTTTTATTAAAAATATTTAGTAATGAAATAAAGCAAGAACTGATTCAGTATTTGTAATATAGGAATTCCCTCAATGTCTCCTGCTCTCTACCAAATGCACCTGGTCACCACTGTGAGTCTGTGGTGTGTGTGGCTAAAATTCATTGGGTTGTTCACCTTTCATGAGTACTAGATGACTGCTTGACTGAGTTAAATCACAATTCCAGCAGCATGGCACATTGAAACAGGCTGTTTATTGTCATTATTCCAGGAAGACAAAGCCAGGGCTTCTTTTGGAAGGCATTTATTCTTTAGCCTTCATTAATCATGACCAAATATTTTAAGTCATGGTTTCAAATATGGTTTGAGTGAAAAGCAGATCCAGAGAAATTGACTCATCCAGGGAGAAAAAAGAAGACAGAGCACTTTCAGACATCTGGAGTTACTGATTTTACAATACACACCTCATTCACTAAATGTAGATTGTTTCAGTCTGATTTCTCTCCAAAACAGATAGCTCTGATTTGCTGTCTGCCAGGTCCAACAGTTCTCCAAGGAAGCCGCCCTGAGTGGCCTAGGGTCTTTGCAGTCTATAACAATTTCTGTACTTACAAGGGATTTTTCAGTCCAGGAGAAGCTAAGCAAATTACAGATGTGATTTGCTAGAATAAATGTGTTGCAGCTAAACAGTAGGTCTTCTCCCTACTTCTCCTCAGAGAAACACCCTCTTGTGTTAATGTCTTCACTAGCAGTCAGCGCTCATCATCTCTGATCTGCAAAGCTATTAAAAACCCAGCTAGATTATTCCATCTATGAGAGACAGGAAGATCTCATCTCTGCTAACAGCCATCTGCCTTTGCCAGAATCCATGATTTTTTAACCATTCACCAAAACAGAGTCCAGATGCAAAAACCTCACTCCCTACTGCCACTGCTGCGCTGTCACTGGGAAATGAAAGACCATCCATCTCCTGCATCAGCTTCATTTCTGTTGATACAAATAATGCAGGGGAGCAAAGACCTCAATGTGTGTCAGAAGCTGTTGGGAGTATTGGCTAATTAGTGCTTGGGGGTGGTAGGTGGGAGCTGCCCAGTACATCTGGAGCAGTGGCATGCTCTGCGTGCTCCCTGCACACCTTGGTGGCTCCAGTGCTGAGAGCCTAACCGGATCATCTCTCCTGACAACGTATTCCAGATGGATAAAGATGCTTTGACCTGCCTTTAGTTAAGGCTTTTCAGGGAATTTTGGTGACAGGGAGGAAGACATTACTGAGTTATAAGAAGGCTCTCCCATGCTTGGACTTTTTGGGGGTCTTTCTCCTCCTTGCTCACTGCCAAGCCTCACTGTGTGCTAGCCCCTTTGGACCTTCCTTAGTCCAATCTGGAAGGGAGAGAAAGATGTCTGTCCCTGAGATGGAAACTGTAGCAATGTCTTGATCTCAGGGCAGACCACTCAAACACTGCAGAGAACTCAGAGCCAGGGTCCCCATATGAGTAATCACAAGCTGTGCCTTTACTATTTAAATGCCAGTAATCCATAGCGGAGATCAGGGCTTAGCTGTGCTAAGCCTTGCATGTATACACTTAGAGACAGCTCATGGCAGGAAGGGCTGGCAGACAAAAAAAGCCCAAGGGTGTAGAAAAAGGTCAGTAAACACAAATCCAGTGAGATGACATGCTCCAAGGTCATACACAGTCAGTGGAAGAGCAGAGCTTGGAGATTACTACTCCGCTTGCTCCCAGTTCCATACCTATTCATGCTGACCCCACAACTGGCACCACCCTTATGCTATGCTGACACGGACCTCAGTGCGTGACAGAACAGTGATGCCAAGTGCTGGTGTCCTCTTAACAGCAAAACATTCAGCATCTGCTTGAGTGACACTGAAGTCTCCTCTCCCCTTCATCCACCTTGCTAGCTCGGCCCCACAGGGCTCAAAGGCAGGTAGTGGGTGATGGCGCAGTAACAGTGAATGCATTCAGGAGATTAGCTTTGAAAAACTTCCCTCAGACTGACTAATCATGTAGGAATATAACACAGGCCATCTCAGGGGTCTCTTCCCCACCAGTTGACATCAAAGATTGCGTTGACATAGCTGAGCAGCGCTGCAGGAGCAATGGGATTAGTTCTCTGTCTTACACTGGTTGTTATGAGAACAGCACGGGGTGAAGCACAGGGCAAACCTTACTCTTCCAGTGAGACTGGAGCATCTGAACTCTGCTACACTGATAAAGCCAAGTCTTAGATTTTTTTCTCCTGGTCATCTCCTACCAGGGACAATCTACAGAAAGCTGGGGGGAGAACCCCTTGGGAGGATTCCCACAGAAGTGGTAGGAATCTCTCTCTCCATTGCAAACACCTTATTATGATTAGGAGCTGCAGTCTTTTGGATAGGGAGCAGAGATTTTCAATCTGTGGTGTAAGGGTGACTTCTATAAGGCCCATGACAATCTCCAAAAAAGAGCTATTTATTGTGTGCAATACATAGGTGCAGCCTGCAACATTCCTGAAGTCTTTGGACTGAGAAAAATTCAGTGCTCCACAAGAGAACAGTTGGAAAACACCAACTGAGAGCTGATGTGAAGCCTGGGGCATATATGTCAAAGCCATTGTGCTCTGGGAAGGGCATTGGTTTCTATAAGCAATGCTTGAGTTTGCTAAAATGTTGAAAGGAGCTTCTTGACTGTCATTGAAATGAACACACTGGAGTCTGGGAGTTTACAGGTACCACCAGCTGCCCCACCTATGCTTGAGACCACTAAAAGCAAACTTCTCTCTGCACAGCCCTTTGAAATATTGCCTTCCCTGCTCCTTCTTCCAACTGAGCTGCAACAAAGGAGAGCAAGGACTAGTAGTAGCCAGGGTGTGAATGATCATGGCTCCCCCAGGCAGAGTTTTTCTGCCATCTTCCAGTTGGCACCATATGAAATTCAAGGGAAACCAAGTTATAAGAGTGAATCACCTTTGTCAGCTTCCAGCCAGATGATGGTCCACATTGCATGGTGGGTACTGGTGTGACGGGCACTGGTCAGCACCGGTAGGAGATGTTGGCCATTCTGGACCAGCAGCTAGATGCCTGGCAGGGTAGCCCAGATTATTTTAAAGAGCACTAAGTGCCTTCATGTGAGGAACTGAACTGAACCCCAGGTGTTTGCATCAGAGATGAATCACACCATACAGCTTGCTGTGACTGGCCTCAGGTCAGTTCACCTCAGCTGAGCTCAGATTACTGAGAGAGATGTGCAGAGTAACTTGGTCTCCAGAACCATGTATGACCCCCACAGCACTCTCAAAAGAGCTGTCCTAGCCTGCCATCGCTGCTTCATTTCCCTACAGATGTGCAATGGGAGGCGGGCAACTAATAACCTCCACACTGGGTGCATTTCAACAGTGCTTTTTATGTATAGTTCTGTGATCCTTTGAGATGAAAGATGCCACAGAACTGTAAATCTGTGCTGCTATTATTATTATATGAATGATGCTTCTTCAATACTCCTGGAAGTGACATATAAATAATAGCATTATGATCTAATCAATATCTCATATTTACATCTCCCCTTTCATCCAGAAAGATCACAGAACTCTTTGCAACCAATATCTTCACAAGTCCCTCTTAGTTGAGCATAACAGCACCAAAGGGAGCCTGGTGAGCCAATATATAATTATACTGATATGATTTCACCCAGTTTCAAGCCACTTTGAGATCTCACTGCATCTTAGTAGGCTAAGATGGAAAGTGAGGGAGAGTCCAGTACCTATTACATACTACAGAAGAGAAATTACAGTCAGGGTAGAATTTGTCTAAGGCATCAAAACTAACATGTCTGCACTTGTAAAAGTGGCATAGGAACATTTAATGACCGTATATAGCCAGGAGCATCACTGAACACTCCTTTCAAGTGCAAAGGTGTGCTAAGTTTGTAAAAGTTTATAGACTTCATACTCTTGTAGCCAGGAGAGAGCAGAATGCTCGACACGGACATGGCCAAGATTTAGTGGGCAGATTGCTGTTAAAGACTGTGTTGCATGTGTTTAAGGCATCCCTCCCTCGCTCCCTCCCTCACCACCCCGTATGTTTTGCATTTACTCTTGGACAGAGTCTTTGGAGAAAATTATATTCTCCTTCTGAGAAATGAGAGGCCTCTCTAGTTGGGCCAATTTTCTTGTTCTGTGTGTGAAAGCAGAAGTTGTTGTTGTTTTGTGTTTCTTTTTCTAAGAAGCCCTGCATTTCAAATTAATAACATTCTTCTGAGGAGGGTCTTGGTCAGGCCCATGGCTGTGCAGAAGATGGAAAAAACTTAAGTCTGAGAGACTGAAGAATACTTTTACCTGAATTGTCAAAGTTGGTGGCAATGCAAGGAGGCCACTACTGAATTAGGTCACCTTGTCAGTTCTGTAGGGAGCAGGGAATGGGTCAGAGGCCAAGGAAAGCTCTGGATATCAGTTTAGCTCCAACCAGGGTCAGGCCTGATTGCATTTTTAATTGTTTCTATGAAAAGAGCGTGTCAATGATCATTGTCTGGTACCATCTGGGTGAATGCCATTTTTACCCAAAGCACCAGAACCTGGGCTGGTATTCATGGGCTTTCTGTTATTAAGTATAGTGAAGATATCAAGGAGATGAGGCTCAAATCTAAGGGGCTGTTCCCACAGGTATAGTAGTTTCACCTCACAGAGACAAGTGGCATGAGACACAAGTTCAGAAAAACCTTCACATCATCCCCAAGTCACTGGCTGCAACATCTGGGAGCCCACAGCACTTAGCTGAGAGCCAGATCCTGAATCACCTTTAATCCCTGGGCACAGACAGTGGTAAGGGGTTGAGAGCAGCATAGGTGTGGATGCATGCAATCCCCCTGCGCGAAACCAGGTCTCTGTTCCCTCTCGAAGGAGGGAATACTCTTGGTACACATTTTTCCCCTTATTGCACCCTAGATCCCTGTGGCTTGTGGGATGCAGGGACCTGCAAGAAGGCGGCTGCAGAAGGGTGGCCACGGAGTACTCGTGCTGCTGTGAAATGTGTGGTGGGTCTCACTGCCTCTCTCTCAGGTCCTGAGCTGCGTGAACCCTGACAACGTGAACAGCCCTGAGATCCCGGTGAAGATCCTGAATTGTGACACCATCACGCAGGTCAAGGAGAAAATCCTCGATGCCATCTTCAAGAATGTGCCCTGCTCCCACCGGCCCAAAGCTGCGGATATGGACTTGGGTATGTGAGCGCCCTGGGCATGGGGGAGAGGGGAGAGAGGAGATGGGAGACAGCCAAATGCAATCTAGACACTGTTTGTTGGGGCAAGCACCACATCTTCAGACTGGGTGTACCTGTGCTGCTTGTGCAAGGCAGAGAAGCAGCAATGGTGAGAGGGCAGAAGAGAGTGATTAAATTGATGCATGTGATCCTGGCTTATGAAATCTTTGGCCTTGAGGACTTAAAAAGACCAGTAGCCATCCTGCTTTTCTGCCCACAGAAATCAGCTTGGACAAGGGTATGGAAAGGGCTATTGACTGGGGCTATTCTTTCTGTCCTGCCTAAGACTCCTGAAAAAAGAGCACCAAATGCCCAGGGTGGCATTGTCAGCAGTGTTCAGGCTGCAGAGATTTATTCCTACTTCTTCTCTGAATAGTGAGGGTTTGGATTATATATATCTTCTTGCTGAGATAGTCACAGCCCAAGCAGTATTAATTACCCATTGTGCGGGCACAGGAAAGGGGATGAAGCATCCTCTGTTCAGTGGGCTGCATCCATCTCACCCCTGACTGCTTCCCTCTCTTGCCAGCACCCCACCACCAACAGCAGGGCTGGGAGCTGCTGCTCTAAGGTTTCCTTTCTGCAGAGGACTTGGAGGTCTTAAGGAAAAATTAGTCTTCTGTTTAGGTGTTCATGGGTTTTTTCTCAGTCGTTTGCTCCTTCATGCATTGCTCTGTTTGGAGGGTGGGAAGAGCTGCACCAGCTTCACTTGCATTTCTAGGTAATTGTGCTGTCGAGCTCTGGGATACAGAGGGAGCTGTATGGCCCAGTGCAGGGGTGCCTCTGAGGCCAAAATCTATTTCTGCCCAAAATCTGGAGCAAGGATGCTGGGAGGAGTGAGATGTCTGAAGTTGGGGTCGAGAGGCAGATGTGATACTACACGTGGAGGCTACTGTGGAAGTATGTAGAAAAATCTTCTCAGGGCACTGCTGAGGTGTCTAGTAGGGAGCTGGGGATTGTATTGTGGCTGTATCTGCCAGAATTTGCCCTCAGTGACCTTCAGTGAAAGAGACTTGAGTGGAAAATGATGGAGTCTATAAAACCTAGTAAAGTAGAAGAGGAACCAAGAGGAGAAGGAATGGACTGATGCCAAGAAACAATTCACAGCAATAATGGAGGCAGGAATGAGAGGTCAGGGATTAAAGTTAAGTATCTATATGTGTGCGTATGTGTAGGGGAGGAGGGGATTCCTGACAGAAATTGCAGTAAGATCCCTGCTTAGGAAAGGCAGTTAGAATAACGAAACAAGCTGCCAAAACCAGCAGCAATAAAGAACAGATAATATACATCATCAAGAAAGGACCCAAGGTGATTTTGGAGCTGCTGTGAATCAGCAGGGGAATGGTGAGTGCTAGGGTGAGCATGGGGGCGGAGAGGGCAGGGTGCCAGGGCACGGTAAACCAGAGGAGTAGGTTTTACAGCCAGATCTCTTGACTTCTCTGATGCTGGATGGTGGCTACAGAGCCCATAACGTTCGGATCTCAGACTGGGTATGCGAGTAGTTTGTTCTGCTGCAGGGATGAATGATGTATTTGTACTGCGAGGCAGGAATTTTACCTGCATGTTGTAAATATGAGGGATAAATTGGAGTCCACAGATTTTATTGTAGCTCTGAAAACCGACAGATACAGAAGTGTGTATGTGCAGGGTCCCAGCTGGAGCTTGACAGTTTTGCATTCCGGACTGTTACTGTTTTAAGAAATATTGACCTGCTGAGTGGTGCTGAGGACCAGCAAGTTCCAGAAAGTATTTATGAGCGTGTGCACCCCTCAGAGGACAGACTTGTCTGTTCTGACAGGAGACTGCTTAATAAGCAGCTGTTTGGCCAATAGCATTGATGATACAGTTAGGGAAAAGAAACCCGGAAAACCAAACCAAAACACAGAACCCCCCTCATCTAGTACAAAAGTCTTGCCATCAGCAATACAGTTGCAGGCTCCTTTAGCACAGCAGCTAACAAGGTGGGAGGAGTAGGACTGGCATGGGTGAAGCAGGAACAAGAGGATATGCAGTCGAGCCACAGCTCCAGCCCAGCCTCTTTGCAGGAAAAGATGTTTGTTGGCACCTGGCATCCTTTGGCGACAATGAAAGCAGCAAGGGGAGAGCAGAAAGCACTGCTGGCCATTGGGAAGCAGCACAGAGCTCTCAGGATCGACCTGCCCCAGGCTGAATGCTCAGAACTGCAAAGGTGGCTGGATCAGTCCTGCCAGTCCATGCTGAACAGTAGGTCAGAGCAGATGACTGTAATCTGGCCTTGAAATCGATGGTTTTCTAAACAGCATCACCGTTTTCTGTTACCATTACAATTTTCTGGGCATTCTGTCCATACTAAGGCCAGATTGCTCACGTGGAAGAAAGCAAACAAGCTAATGAGTTACTTTGAGTTGTTAAATGCAGGGTAGCTGCAGGCAGAGTGACTTGTATGTGTCGCAAATGTCATAATGTTTTTTGCAGTTACCCAGACAACTCATGGAGGGGGTTGTCAGCTGAAAGCACTTATTTTGGACACCCTGAGGTTACATTTTAGTCCAAACCCCAAATTGCAGCCCTCTGAGTAAAGGCTTCTTTCTGCAGTGGCTATTTTTGTTATTATTTTTAAAGCCCTCACCATAAATAAAATACCCCATCTTTAGGAAAGCATTAGGGTGTGAGGACCACAAAACAGGAATTTGGCTCCATGCTGAGGCATTCATTCTTCCCTGTGTTTTGGTTGCTTTTTGAAATGGACTGCTGAGGTGATGGGAGCTGCTAGGTTGATTGTCTTGCACTCAGTGATGCTGTCTCAGGCTCATTGTGGACCATGTCAGGGCAAGCTTTCACTGCCTCATCCATGGTGCAGTACTGAGGTGAGGGGTTCAACCTTTAGGAGCCATTTAAACTGGGTCTAACTGTAATGTATTTACAGTAAGGCAGACGACTTACATACACAGGATGAAATATTTTCCAGGTATCTTCCATCTATGCGTTCTGATATGAACTTTTTTTTTTCCCCAACCATGGTGGTCCTTTCTCCACCGCAGAAGCAGACTGGAGTTTCTCCTCTCTCCCTAGAGGTCATCACATACTGGACATTTACCCTTTTTTGTTTCCTACCCACCTGGTTGTGCTGGCATCTGCAGCATACAGACAAAGGATTTATTCTTCTATTTCCTATGCCAATTTTTCTCTCACATGGAAATTATTGGGAAGACTAAAAATACTCATAGGACTGTAAGCAGCCCCCCAGCTCTTCAGACTAATCTTTATGAGCACAAGTGATCATGAAATAAGCATCGAGCCTGGGTAAGCCACATGCACTTGTTCCACATGCCATTGCTGTGCACAGTCAGCTACAAACCATTTCACAGCCCTTCATGGGAGACTTAGGGTCTTTAGGAAAAGGGTGGGAAGCACTGTATATGGCATGAACAGTTGACTGAAATGGATTGTGTGCATCATGACCTAGAAGTGCCTGTAAAGGATGGTATAACTGATGATGACTAGCTCAAATGAAGGCATTTGGAGTGAGCTGGCAGGTGTTCCATCCACTTGGGTATTTCAATTGCCCCTGAAAAATTACTCTTTGCTACACTTTTCTCCCTTGTTCAACGAGCATCTTCAGGATGACCTGGATCAGAGAGAAGGTATGAGGGAAGTATAACATTTTCTATAGGATTTGAAGTGCAGGAGGACAGCTCCCCATCTCCCCATAGAGTCATTCCCTAGCCAGGCATTGCTACAGCTCAAAGAAACACCTCTTTGTCAAAGGCCCCTGGAATTTCCTTTTTCCCAGTCAAGTTGAACAGAAAGGTTGTTTCTTAAAAAAAAAAAAAAGAAAAAAAGAAAAAAAAGAAGAAGTAATTCCTGCGTGCAATAAAAAGATACACTATCTGCTGAATGAAATATAAAGGCTTCACAGCAGCTGTCTCCTGAGTTTGCATTTACCGCTGCTCCTGATTGGAAGGCTTGATAAAGATAATGGGATTTTTTACCTCCCTCCCCTTCTCCCTCCCTCTCTCTGGAAGGTGGAAGTGTAACAAATTGGATTGGAGTATGTCTCTCCTTTGTACTGGCTCGCAGAGGAGTGTGCAGATCTGATGAGAGAGGGGACAGGGTGCTGCCAGTGAGGACAAAGCTAACAGTTTTCACTTAGTGCTGCAAATATGGATGTCAGGGTCACCTTTGCCTCCTTTGCACCCTCCCTTCCCATTCCCTTGCTCACAGCCATCACATTTCCTTGCGGATCAGTGTTTGACCACCTCAGCTGGCGCTTGTGGAGAAGGGGAGTGTGCAGTGCTCCTGTGAGGCTAGGAAGCGTTTGGGGACCACAGCGGGGGGTCCTATTGCTGAGATGCGTGATGAAGTGATTTGTATTTGGCCAGGGCAAACAGGCTGCAAAACTGAAGCCAGATGCTCTGAACCTGCCCTGCAGTGTGTTTTCCTCCTTGTCGTGCTCTGGAGTAGGTCTTGGGCTGAGTCAGACTGGCCTTCCTTCTTCCTCGCATGGCACCTTTCTGCAGGAAGGCCAAGGGGAGAGGCTTGGTAATACCCTGTGTCTGTGCGGGAGCACAAAGGGCTTGAGGGGACATCCCATGATGTCCCCAGCTCCCCTGGAGCAGAGGGAAAGCTTCTGCTGCTCTGAGGACCCTATCCAGCCCTTGAATACAAATAAAGTACAGAATGAGGAAAGCTGTGCCAACCCTTCATATCAGAGCCAAGTGCAGCACTGACAACCTGTGCACCCCTCCCAAAACACTACGTGAGTGCGTGTCCCTCCCCAAAGATGAGTCAGAAGAGAGGAGGACCATCGTAATATGCAGAGCCCTGAAGGAGAGATGTCAGACACTGTCCCCAAGAGACCATGAAGAAGGCACGAGACATACTCTGTGGCAGTAGAAGTGGTTTTGGCATTCTGTGGGGCACTTCATAAGAGTGGCATTTCCCAGCCCAGCCCAAAGTTCAGCATTTTTGTCCTCTTCCCAGAAATGCCTGGAACCAGTTAGCTTCCAGCCCAGTTGGGAATGAACAGAGAGCATCACCCTCGGACATCACAAGGATAATGTAGGTGAGGATCTAAGGAGCTGGAGCAAATGAAGGGCAGTTCAGGATCAGTGCTTAGCCAACATAACCTTTGCTTACTCTCTGAGTATCTCCAGCCAAAGTAACATCCAGCAATAAACACAGCAGCTGACCTCTTCCTGCTAATTTAAATGAATAATAAAGGCAAGGACGGGTTTCCCAATACATTTTAATTATGTGATAAGAAAACTGCTGAAACCAAAAGAAATTTGCAACGGTCCTTGCATTTTTATATTAGGAGAAATAAGCAGGGGTGGCAGGTGATGCCTGCATATCCAAGAGTTCATTTTAATTAACTCCTGCAAATGAATAGAATTTCTGCTTTGGCTCTGGCTAAACTGTATGTGGTTGGATCACTGTGACTGAGACATGACAACCAAAAAGATAGCTTTGGATGGTCCAGGTTGTCTGTGGTTAAGCCACAGCTTTCCCTGGTGTCACCATGTGATACTACATTTCTCTCCTTTTGGCTGTGTTTATGCCATGTGGGCAAGTCTGTGAGTCCTTTGTGGGGAAAGTTGTGACAGTCCTCCACTTGGAGCATCCTTCAAGATTTGAGCAAAAGGCGGTACCCCAGGAAGTGACGGGGTGCTCCAGTGCTGCAGAAGGAGAGAAGCATTCATCATTTCAGGGTGAAGGCTGGAGAACTGGATGTGGTCAGAAACTGGAGCCCTTCTGCCCACAGGCATAGTGCTGAAGGCTGGTAGAGATTATATGCTCCACAGAGCAGGGTGTTGGTTCTGTCTGGCTCTTCGCCCCATTGTGCCTCTCCTGTGCCCAAAGCTAAGGGCTTCCTGCTCTCCATCGCTTCCAGATTTGAGTAGCAAGAAGTGTTGTGTGGGCATTAATGGAGATGAACTGAGCCCAGTACAGGGTCTGGTGCTGTGCTGAACAAGACACTGCTCGGCCTGGGGGAGCCCTCTCTGTGGCTAGGTCTTGGCACTTAGACATATCTCAGGTGTTGATAAAGGCTGTGTCTGTGCTGCTAAAGGAAAGGGGAAAGAGGACCAGGGTTGAATTTCTATCCCTGACACAAGTGACATTCATTTGCTCCTGTCCCATGGTGATGGCTAACATAGGCAAGGACAGGTTGGTCTTGGAAACAGCCACAATGGAGCAAGATCAGAGCCAGGGAGTAAGCTGAGTTAAGCACTGTGGATAATCAGGGTGCTAAAGCACCAGGCCTTGCTCTGTTCAGCTTTGCCACTGGATCAACAGCTCTGTGGTCATTGCTTTATTTATCTGTATAGAGCTCACCACTGCATGCTGCTGTGCCCTAGCCTTGGCCCTCTCATCTCTGTAGGCAACTGTTCTCTTTTCTGATCTCTATATGATGTCACTCTTTAAAGCGGTGGGTGTTTTCTGTGTAAAAGTTGTTTTGTGATTGCAATATTATTTTATCAAGGGTAAAGAAACCAGTCTGGATAACCTAGGACTTGACTCTGAACTTTGCCACATGGCTATGATTTTTGCATACTTTCCTGAACCATCTTCCTGAACTTTTAATGGTTCATTTGTCTTCTCTTTCCCTCTGGAAAGAGGGCTCTGGACATTTGTGCATTTATACATTGTGTGTGGTTAGAGGCATCTGACCAAGGGCAAAGGCAATGACTGAAACGCTGCCACACAGATGCAGCCTGCACAGGTGTGACTACATGGGCTGTGGGCACAGGGATTACCAGGGCTCTGCCCCCTATCTCAGAGACTCTGCACAGCAGAGTTCAACGTCCCTGTTCTTGCAGAGTGGCGGCAAGCAAGCGGGGCAAGGATGATCCTGCAGGATGAAGACATCACAACCAAGATAGAGAATGACTGGAAGAGACTCAACACACTGGCACACTATCAGGTAACTGTGTGAGAGGATGGGTAGAAGGTAGATCAGCTAAAAAATTAGAAAGGAGAAGGGCAAAGTGTTATTATCTAAGATGCAGAGGTAAACAATGGTTGAGCAGGCAATAACTGGGCATAGCCCCTGTGTTGAGTACATCCATCCTGTTCCACTGTCCTTGTAGTAATTACCCCACACAACATTAGAGATGAAGCCAAGGGAAGAAAAAATCCTCTCTCTCTCTCAAAGGAGGGATATTCCTGGTGAGTGAAGGATGTGAAGAGGAGATGTGGTCGGGAGGACAACACGAGTTAACATTTCTTATGTAGACAAACAGAAAACAAGCCCTTCCATCCCCCTTTTTCCAATGCTTCGAAGGACTGATAATGCTAGCAGAGTTCAGAAGGATGGAAGAGAAAAAAATGGAAGGGAAAGA